GGAGAGCAAGACAGCCGAACTCGCGTCGACGACGGCGCTTCTGGGCCAGTTCAAGGACAAGGTCAAGACGCTGATGGCGTCGCAGGCGTCGCTTGAAGCCCAAGTCGCGTCCGTGCACGACGAGAAGGAGTCGCTCGCGTCGAGTCATTCGTCGCTGAGCAGCTCCAAGGGTGCGCTGGAAGCCGAGCTGGCGGCTGCGACGGCGGCCCTCGCGGAGGCCAACGACGCCAAGACGACGCTCGCGACGCAGGTCGAGACGGTCACGGCGGCGCTGGCCGCCAAGGAAGCCGAGCTCACGTCTCTCCAAGCCATCCTTCCGCGCTTCAAGGACAAGGTCAAGGACCTCACCGCGTCCCAAAAGGCGATGGAGGCCCAGGTCGCGGCTGCGGTTGCTGAGAAGACGTCAATGGCCTCGGCCCATGCGGACGCGATCAAGTCGCTGCGGAGCTCCAAGGCCGATATGGCGGGTGAGCTGCAAGAGATGACGGCGCTCAAGGAGACGCTCAAGGGGCAGCTTCGCGCCATGTCCAAGGAAAAAGCGTCGATGCAGCACGCACTGCAGACCGAGATCGACGACCTTGCGTCCAAGGTCGCCAAGCTCGCGGCGATTGCAGAGGCGCACAGCACGTGTGGCACCGCCGTCCAAGACGCGCACGCGGCGCTCGCGGCTGCCAACGACGAGCTGGCGGCGGCACACGCGACTGTGGCGGAGCTCCAAGAGCAGGTGGCCGCGCTCTCGCTCTCGGAGCAGGCGTTGCACCAAGCGTTTGAGCAAGCCACGATGGAGACCAACGCCATGTCGCGCTCGCACGACGAAGCGGCGGCGGCGCTGACCGCGCTCCAGAGTCTCCACGGCCCGCTGGAAGCCGAGCTGCAAAGCATGACGTACAAGAACATGCAGCTCAAGCAGGACCTCGACGTCATGTCGGAGCAAGTGACGGCGCTCGAGCACATTTTGCAGTCCAAGGATGGCGCGCTCGATGTGTTCAAGGACCAGTGCAAAGCCGCCCAAGCCTCGCTCGCGACCGCGGAAGCGGCGCTGGCGGCGAAGGAGGCCGCGTTGGCCGAGACGGACGCGATCGTGGCGGCCAAGGACGCGCAGCTCGCCGAACTCGACGCGCTCTTGAGTGAAAGCGACGCGCTCATGGCCGAGCTCGACACGCTGCATGCCATGTCGCGCTCGCAGCGGTCGTCGCGTGCGAATGCGATCGCGCTGGACCCGACGACGATATCGCAAGAGTACAAGATCTTGGTCTCGGAGAACGACGCGCTCAGCGCAAGCCAGGAGAACCTGACGGAGATCGTGTCGACGCTCCAGGCACAGGCAGCGGTGCGGGCGACGACCGCCGACATCACGGACCGCTTCGTCGAAGGCCTCGTGTCCACACTGGGTCTCGAAGTCGACTTTCCGATCACAGAGACAAGCGTGCTCCAGGAGACGCTCGAGCAGCTCCAGGGCTACATTGGCATGATGTCGGAGGAAGCGGCGCACCACGCGCACGACCACGCAGCGTCGCTCACGACCGACACGTCGTGGCTCGACGCGATCCAGGAGGCCGACGAACTCAACGAGAACGCCGACGCCCTCCTCGACCAGGCCGAGCAGTCCAAGGCCAGCGCGCTCGAGGTCCACCACGCTCTTCTCGCGCTCGCCAAGACGCTTGTGCCGTTGGGTGCCAACGAACTCGAAGCCGCCGTCGACGCCGCGACCGACGACCTGCACGCCGCGCCGATGCTGCTCGCGGCCCTCCAGTCGACGCTGGATGCCGTCGTGGTGGACGTAGCGACGCTCGTGACAGCTTGCAACCACGTGCGTCCGCTCCCTCAACTGGCCGATGCGGGTGTGTGGGCGGCTGACGTCACGCGCGGGACGCTCGTCGACAAGGAACTTGAAGCGCGCGTGCTCTCGGCCGTGGCCCGCCGCTTCGGGGACGTCGGTGTCGCGATTGGCGACGTGAGCAACCTCTTGGCACTCGAATCGGTGCTCGTGTCGGACGCGATCGTGGCCGCATCCCAAGCGCGCGCACTCCAAGACGCCTCGTTCGTTGAAGCACTGGCGCCGTTCTTTGGTGTGCAGTCGCTGCAGGCGTCGATGCCGCAGATCCTCGCGATGCTGTCGGCGTCCTCGGCCCAGACCGAGACGCTGGCCGCGTTGTGCCACCGCGTGCGCGTCGCCCATGGCTTGCCGATGGTGACCGAGACGTACCCGACGACGCAAGCCGGCGTGCTGGCCCTCTGGGAAGATACAGCGCACGCGCTCGAGGAGGCGTCGTCGCCGCTCAAGACGCTCAACGCCTCGTCGATCAAGGGCGACGTCGACATGGAGCAGCTCCACGAGATCCTCCACCGCGTCGACGACCGCTGCGAAGCCCTCCACGGGCAGGCCGGCGATGACAAGGCCGCGGTGCTCGTTGATGTCCTCGGCGCCCTCGACCTCGCGCGCGAGTGCCAACGCGCGGCCATCACTGTGCTCGAGAAGCACAACCGCACGTGCACGGCGCGGACCCGCGTCCAGATCGCCATGCAGTGTGGCGTCCAACGCGCGTTCCTGCGCTGGAAGCACAAGACGCTACTGAGTGTCGCGGATGAGAAGCACGCGGCCGACCTTGTCAAGCTCAAGGAAGAGCATTTGGCGCAGCTCAAGCGCGTGCAAAAGCTCAACGCCGCCGAGCAAAAGCCGACAGACGCCAAGCCGGTCCCTGCGACGACACCTGTCAAGGCGACGGTGACGCCCAAACCCATTGTGCGCACCAAGTCGTCGACGTTCGACATGGCCAAGGTCAGCGCCAAGGCCGCCGAGGTCGTTGATCAGCTCACCAAGCGCCGCGAGTCGTCGACGGCGGCGCGCTTTGACCACTGGAAGCGACTCGCCGACGAGACGCACCGCCGCACGGCCAACCTCGAGACGTCGAGCGGGTCGGGCAGCCAGCAGTCGGCGCCCCGCGTCCAGGGCCGCCGCGACAGCCTCCCCAAGACGAGCCCCAACCGGTTCCACGTGGCCTTCAACTCGTCGGCGAGCCGTGGTCTCTTCCCGACGACGTCGACGACACCGACAGCGGCGCGCCCGCGGGTGTCGATGGGCCTGCCGTCGTACAGCTCGGTCAAGGACCAGTCGTCCACGGTCCAGAGTGCCGTGGACCGCATGAAAGACCAGAACGACCGCCTCGTGCGCAAGGTCGTGGCCGGTGCCCCGACCAAGAAGAAGACGACGACACCGTCGCCGTGACTGTGTGAATGTGTATACATGATGAACATAGCGTAGTTTGAGACGTACTAGGCATTTATAATAATAGTACACTGCATTTCGATTGTGTCTTCTTCTCTCGCAACGCAACCTCGGGTCCATCAACGCCCGGGTCTCCATCGAGCTGCCCCTCATTGTGTCGGGGCTATGGTCGAGCCATGCAAGCGTATCTTGCTCGTAGCTCAACTTTGGTCGTCTGCGTGGTCCGGATCAAAATGCAGGTGCTGGTAGGACGACGTATCAAAAGATTACATCGCCCAGTCGCCAAAGGGCTCGTCGGCCAGCGCTGCTAAATGCACTGTGCTAGACAACGTCCACGGGAGATACCCCTTGCTGCAGTAAATGCCACCACAGAGACGCACCAATGACCTCAAGGTCCGACGGCCGAGTCTCGATGTGAATACTAACGTCGCTCGACGCGACGACACGTCACGACGTCGTGGACATGTCCTTGACAACGGGCCACGTCACTCTACGCACAAATCGTATGACGACACCCGCTGGACGCAGGCCCTGCGCAAATGCAGAGGGTGCCAAAGCGCGTCGGTGTAGGGGTAGGGTCGGGGTAGGGTAACTCGGTGGACCCGAAACCCCACCTTGTGCATAAATACGGGTATCTTACGTAGTCTTTAACTGTGAGATAGGGCACATGACAGCAACGAAACAGGTTACGACGAATGCACGAGGGCCGGCGGGGGGTTGTGCGACGCGGCCTTCTCAGCGAGCATGCTGTACACGTAGTCGACCGCGACGCCGCTGTACGACTTGCGGAGCGCGTCTTCGAGCGACCGAGCGGCTTCGGACGCGGCCGGTGGGTTGGCGACCGCAGACGTGGGCGGAAACTGCAGCGACTCGCCGAAAAATGGTGTCTTGGTCGGCGGCCGCGCGACCATCTTAGCAGCAGTCGACGTCGACGACGACGCAGCGTGCTTGGGCGTCGTGGCGAACCCGCCTCTCGGCGTCTTGGGCGTCTGCGGCAGGTACGAAAGGTCGAGTTTGACGTCCTTGCTGCTCTCCTTGCGCGCGAGCTTGGTGCCAAACGTCGTCGGTGTCTGCGCCGTCGACTGCTGGGGTGTCGACGGAAACTGCTGGCTCGTCGACGGTGCGGGCGACGCGGCGGCCGACGACGTGGCCGTCGTTGGGGTCTTTGGAAGGTAGCTCAGGTCCACGGGCGCAAGCCCGCGGCGCGAGCCAAGGGGCGACGGGTCCTTGGCGCGCGGGCGGGACCAGGACGCTGCACGAGGCAGCGGCGCCGGCATCATGTTGGTCGGTGGCACCGGCTGCGAGTAGTGGCGGTTGTACTCGGTCGTAGCGGATCGGTACGAGGTGTTGGAGAAGGTCGAGCCCGCCGAGGCCGTCGAGTACGCCGACGGCGTGCTCGGTCCATTCGGGTTGTACAGGTCGTACATGTTCATCTCGTTGTACGCTTGCGTCGCCGACGAGTTTGCCGAGAGGAGCGAGAGTTCCGTGAGGTGGTCCGAGTGCTCATTCTCGTTCGTCGTCACGCCAATGTTGCAAATCGAGCAAATCCGAATCTTCTTGATCGTTGTCCCCGGCACGTCGGCCGACCGGTGGAGGCTGCACTTGGAGCAGATCACTTCGCCGCACGCGCGGCAGTGGTGTCGGTGTCGGAAGAGCCCAAAGCCGCGGCCGCAGAGGGTGCAGCTCGACCGCGTTGACGCCGGGACCCACTGCGACTTGTCGAGGAGCGTGCAGGTGGTCATTTGGAGCTTGTCGACGATGCGCTTGAGCTGCACCATGCTCGTCACGACGTCTTGCTCGGCAATCTTGTACGACAGATTCGACGGACAGTACCCGTTCGGGTCAAACCGCACAACGTGGTGCATGCGTGCCATCTTGGCCTCGGCCGCGTCCATCTGGTAGATGAAGCCGGCGAGGAGCTTCCCGCGGACAAAGCCATGCGACGCCTCGAGCGACGGGCACTCGGGCAAGTCGATCGAGCTCAGGACGCGTACAAACATGTCGTTGCCGCGCGCGTCGACGATGCGGTCGAGGACTTCGAGCACGCAGTAGTCGCGGTTGGTCACCATCATGCTCGACGACTTGGTCGCATACCACTTGATGCCGACGTACCGATACGGGTTCGCTGCGGTCCGTGGCACAATGCTCTGGAGCACGGCGGCGTCGACCACGCGCGGGTTGAGCTTCTTCATGAGGCGGCGGAAGAGGCCGTCGTCGTGGGCTGAGAACGCCCGGGCAATGTCGTCGAGCGACGCTTGGAGCGAGCTCTTGCAGCCGACCTCGGCGATGTTGCTCTTGCTGACGTTGGGCGCGAGGCGCGGCTTGGCGGTAAAGTTGCGGTAGACGGCCACGCCCTTCTTCTCGTGCACCGGGACCCACGAGTTTTTGTGAAAGTCCGAGAGCGCAAACACCTTGCGGATCGCCGACTCGGCGTACTCGGCGTACTGGAGGCGCTCGGCCTCGGTCATGTTGCTCATGTTAAAGTAGCCTCTCGGCAGCGGCAACGACGCCATCGGACTCGGCGAATGCGGAAATGACAGGAGCTTGGTCGGTCGAGCCACGAGAGCCGGACTGCTACACGCGCGTCATTACACCCCAACTGTCTTTTCCAATCCCAAACTCAAAACGCACGCTCAATCGCTTCAAAGACCAAGTGTACAAACTCAATTTCCAAGTGTTTTGAGATTCAGGCCACAGCGTCTGATCGGCAGCTGCGTGCTCATGACGCGCCGCCGCCGACGTTGGCCGTGTCGAGGACATATATATTTAGTAGAAGAGTATATATTTGACGAGTCGATGCTCGGTGAGTTAGCGCTGTGGAGCTGGTGGGGAGTACCGATAGAACGCTGGAAGCGGCGACCACATACGCGGATACACTGTACGAAAAGCACTTGGTCGTGTGGCGCCAGTCGACGTCGCTGAGTCCGCAACGCCCACTCTTGCTTGCCGCTCCCTCTCCGTGTGCCGAGTCGTCGACGGTCGAGACGAGACTCGGACGGTCCCAGGCTGGGTTTGTCGCCGGTGCTACAGTCTTGGCTGCTGCCTTGTCTAGACCGTCGTTCAGAGCACAAATACTCGCGCTTGGGTCACCCAGCGTCGCAGCGACTTGAAAATTCGATACATTTTTCAACGCCGTTCGATTTGGCGAGATATACAGTGTCGTGATGGACTGGAAAAATGTGAAGTGCCGGATCCCACAAGTCGCATGGTCCGATACTACTACGCAACACTGCATGGCTGAGCTCTGTCGCCTCGCAGCGCTGCAACAACGAGGCATCGGCATTACGACTCGTGTGTATGCGTCGTAGACACGCGGTCGTCACTCTGGTTCGCGCGACACTCGATAACCTGGCGCCAAGACGTCCTAGTATAACGACGTACTAATAGTACGACCTTGTAATGCGAATGTGAAGTAGACGGATGAGCACACGGACAAGCCAACCATGTACTCACGGCGTTGGTCGGATGCCTGGCTACGCAGTTACACTGTCTGATACTGGAGTGGCCGCGGGCTGTAATTCTAGACAGGCACCCCGGGCTCGACGGTACTGATTCGCGGCTTCCTGTGCCGTGCACCGTTCCCGCAACTTGCTCGGAACGCGCGCTGGACAATTGTGTCCAAATTAACCGCGGTGTCGACCACAGTGTCATGACCGTTGACTACCCCGGAATAGCAACGTAGAACTTTGGCTCCTTTGGCAGCGTATGGCAACTAGCGCTCAATGTGACTCGGGCGAGACGACAACGTCGTTGCAAGTGTCATCTTGTTTGCATTTAGCAGGCGGTTGTCGTTATAGCTTGCGTGCGACAAGCTGTCGAAAGGCGACGTTGCGGCGTGCCTCTTCTGTCGTCGCGAGCGCCAGAAGGGTCTCGAGGTCTTCGCCGAGCGTGTCGACGTCGGCGGCGCGGAGTTGGCGCAGAATGCGCGTCGCAAAGCGCGATGTGGTCGTCGACCCGTGCCACTGGCGTTCGAGCCCGCTCACCACCTTCTCGAGCAACTCGTAAAGGCCGACGCTAAAATGCGTAAAATATCGCTCCCGCGACGCCTCGTACAGCGCCCTAACACCACGTGCAGCTGGACCTCGATGCGAATGAGCTTAACGTACACTGCGCGCTCAAGGTCGCAGTACCATATTGGCTTGACGTCGATATGAGGTCGCTTTGGGGACCGCGCAGCGATGGTTTTGGCCCGCTCGAGAATCCACGCAACGCGATCGTCGTCGTCGCTGGTCGCTGGTGGAAGTACCAGTGGCGCGTCCACCGCTGTGGTAACGTGCTCCAACGGTAGATCGCGACGGGGTGGTGGCACATAGCCCCCGACGCGCTCGTAGGTGCGAAAGGCGTGGACGACCAAGAGGAGCCAGCCCCGTGGCGTCTTGCAACGTCGGTGATACCACCGCTGGAGCTTCGTGGCCGTACGCTCGTGCCGCCGAAAGTCCGTCGCTGGGTACTGCTCGGGGCTTATGCGTCGAATCAAGTCGCGCACGGAAGCGTCGTACTGGCTTGTGGAGGTCAAAGCTGCGGTGATCACGCGCCGTACGAGCGAGCTATCGGGATTTGGCGACGCGACGAGCGTTTGCAAAAGCAACAACATCGCAGGAGGTGCCAAAGACGTTGCACAGGTCCGAAGATGGCCCGGTACCGGGTCGAACGGCGGGCCCAGGACGTGCAAAAGTAGGTGCGCGCTGATAGCGTGACAGCCTCGCGTCGACAGCTCCGTGGCCAAGGCGACCCAGAACCCGGCGTCACTGGGCGGCAACGTCGTCTTGCATCGTTCGATCGCGGCGAGCATCGTTTTGGCCCTTTTCTTGTCGCCCGCATGAGCATGGCACAACGCCTATGAGGAACACGAGAGACGGAAGGCTGTTTGTTGCTTCAGTATACCATCAGTGCATGGAGGTAGGGTCGACAGAGAGGTAGTGGCGGTGTCTCGACGAGCGTCTACAAGCGCGATCGATGAGATTCCATACCAGTCGATAGTACTCGAACCAGGAGGAACTGGAGTGCGCTGCTGTGTTCGTGGGTCATGTAGAGCACCAGCGCCGCATTGAGAAGCGTAACTTGATAGAGAGGCTCCCACTCAGACGTGGCTAGAATGGCCTGCTTCGCTAACGTCACTGCACCAACGTCGTCGTTGTCAGCGATGAATGCACTAGCTCCTCGTCATGTCTGATTGCGCGGGGGAGTAGAAAGCGTACCTGGCCATCGGGACAAGCAGGCGTGGCGGAAGCGCGGTGATGGCGGCACCCCGCCATAGAGTTGCCATTTGCTTGAGAAAATAGCCATCGCGTCGATAGATGCCTTCGTTCCAGTGACGTCGAGAGAGCTCGTCGAGGCGACCGACGTCCACTGTGCCTGCGATCATGTCGCTTCATAAAGATCCAATACGACACATCTGATTGGCCCATTCAAACAGCTCTTTGGCAGTAGTTCAAGATGGCTGAGCAAGCGCAGGGATTCTGGGCTGGCTACAAGGGGCGACGCGAGCTGTACACGGTACACGGTACACGGTCGCGGTACACGGTAGACGACGCCGTAGCTGACGCCACCGAGGCCCAGCAGTCGCGAGTTCGTGTCGCAATGATCGCGTACATCGACAGGTCGTTGGATCCAGACACTCTTCCCATCCGCTTCTTCCGACCAGCTTTCAAGACGGGACATCCGATAAGATCTTGGTACGTGCAGTCCGCCAGGAGTGGGAGGCGGGTGCAGAACCAGGCGAGCGAGATGCGGTACGCGCACCACATGTGTTGAGCCAGCTTGTCGAGCCGATTACATGACGGAGAGGAACATCACTTTGGCCATGCAGCACGCTTGCCGCAGCCAAGCAACCCTCAGCACCTTCGATTGTTGCTTGTTTGGTCCCAGCAAGTACTGTACCAGTAGTGGCAGCGACGTCCCGGTACACTACTCGTTCATATTGCAAGTGCATTTTGATAGTACGAAGAACTTGTATTCACGTCCAAAGCTATTTTGCTGGGTACCCTTCGTCCCAGCTACCCAACGAGCTTGACGACGACCAGAGATATGGCATCGAGACGCGGCCATGGTTTGCGTCGGGCACGTCTGCGTACACGTCCATCGTGTGATGGATATCCCGCATCGCTGACCACGGACGCCGCACAAACACCTTGCCACACACTGTGAACTGGTACCCGCGGTAGAACCGATCTGACGAGTTGGTGCGCACGAGCAGCATCAAGACAAGGCCGGCGAGCGAGAGATACCAGAACAGCAGCACTTGACGGCCAATCACCGCCGTCGAGTCGACGCCAAATGCAAGCAAAATGCCTTGGCCGACCACCCACAGCAGCGACGAGAGGCCGTACATGGTGCCGACGTGGTAGACGCCAAACATGTCGGCGAGGAAGCACACGAGCAGCGCCGCGCCAGAGTTGGAGGCAAACGCCAGCAGATACAAGAGCCGCTCGACCGACGCAAAGTCCGTCATCTGATTCGACGAAAAGTACACTATGGGCAGCGCCACGCACTGCACCAGTAGCAGCACCAAGAAGCAGCCTTTCCGAACGAACGCCGGGTTGCCGTACAGCAGCCGGATGCAAATGTCCGAGAGGATCGGCATCACGAGCCGGCCCGCGAGGTCGGCAGCCACACCACGGAGCCGAACGGCGTCGGCGGCCGCATCCGAGATGTGGTACACGTCGCTGAGGAAGTCCGAGCGGACTTGGATCGCGGTCATCTCGTTATAAAACAAGCCCACGGTCGAATTGGAGATGAGCGCGAGGAGGAGAAACGCAAAGTCGGTCGAGAAGATGCACTGCAGCAGCGACAGAGCCTTGACTTGCTCGTGGTACCGACGGTCCGTGCCCTCGACGAGCGAGCTGCTGTGCCGCGCAATCGCCTTGTAGTTGACGAGCGTCATGCCCACATGCAGAAACTCATCTTGGACGAGGCTCGCGCTCGGGGCCTTGGCGCACGGAATGCAGTGCATGTCGTGGCCGCGGACGCTAAAGTCTCTTGGCGGCAGGCGAATGATGAGCGTCGCCAGCGAGAGCGTCGAGAGAAGCACCGCGAGGAGGATCCAAAAGAGGTACTGGAACGTCGCGTCCGTGCCATCGAGGAGCGACTCGAAGAGCAGACCCCAAACGTGTTTGCCAAGACCAAAGCCAAAGAGACAAATACCGGCGACGGCACCGCGGGCGTCCGGTGCCCACTTGAGCGCGGTCGAGATGGAAGCAAGCACGATCGCAGCAAAGGCCATGCCACCCAAACACGTCCTACACAGTCATGGTTAGGATGTCAACGTCGATGACGTCGATGCTACGCACCCAATAGGCAGCAGTGGCCATATGCGCAGCAAGGACGCAATCTGTCCGGTCAAGAGTCCAACGGCCATGACGCAAGTGCTGATAGCAAGCGAGAAGCGCGGCCCCTTGCGTTCGACGAGCGGTCCGAGAAGCGTTTGCGCGAGGACGCTGAGGATGCCTGTGAGGACGATCGCGTTTCGCGCGTTGGGGCTGTTTTCTGGAAAGCGAAAGTAGGCGTTGATCGGGCCAGCGACCGACGAGATGGCGTAGATGGAGCCGGCGACGAATTGCAGCAGCAGCGCCGCGACAAAGATATAGCCGCGGTGAAAGCGGAGGCAGCAGTAGCGCGGCGCTAAGAGATGCGTACTGTAGAGCGGCCAGTAGAAGACGTAGCGCTCCGCCTGCACGGCGTACGCCGATTGCGGATCGAGCGCCAGCGTCCAGTACGCTCGAAACATCCAAAAATATAAAGTCCGCCTGACATCGATCCAAAGTGATCGGTGAGAAAACCCAGGTGTGCATTACACACCTATATGGAGATCGCTGTGGGAATGGTGTTTTTCGCGAAATATATGTGGGATTCATGCTTTCGCACGCTGTTTCACACGCTTTTACACATTGTACACATTGTTTACATGTGTGTTTTGGTGGAAGTCGCATGGATGCGTGCGTTGACCAGCTGTTCCCGACGTTGCCGCCATTCGTTGTCAGCATTGACGTAACAAAGTGATAGTGGCAGTTCCCAGCCATTCGATGGTCAGCAACCCTCCAGTTGAAGGCTTCGCGGTCGCCCTCTGCGTCTGAACATTCGTCTGAGCGAGGATTCGGTGTACACAAGCACTTGTGAGCGAGTGTATCTTTGCCACCAAACGCTGGCGAAGGCGAACGAACATCTCATCGCCTTCTTCCCGAACAAGTCGACGTGAGTGCTTTCTGGGCGTTGGATACCTTTTCTTTTCGAGTCACGTGATGTTGACTAACTTTTTTTCGGGATGACGACTTGTCTTTTATTTCGGGACATTGGGATATTATCGCAGTACTGCTGGCGCCAAATATAAGTACAAACGCGCCCCATCCCAGCAGACAACATGGTATGCTGTGACGGTACTTCTTAGAGACAACTTCGGCTTCCAAGTCCGAAACTGCACGACACCTGTACTTCAACAAGCGTGTTGGCCAGTGCCGGGCGAGGCGTTTGCTTTGCGAATGTGGACTACATTCGGAAATGGCTCGAGCTGATCTGCACGCGGCGCCGTGATTGCATGGTCGCCGAGCGATTCTAACACTACTATATTACTCGACAACACCTACTATAGTTATAACGAGTCGTCGTCGTCGTCGCCGTCAAGTGAGAGCGACGGCCACAGGTACGGCATGGACGTTCGCATCACTTCAATGCCGTCGGGCACGTCCGTATAGAGATCCCACGTTCCTTGGCGGTGCGGCTGCCACGACTTCCGCGGTCGCTGCACCACGACTTTGCCGCACACTGTAAACCGGTAGCCGCGGTAGAACCGGTCGGCCGAGTCGGTGCGCACAAAGAGCAGTGCGACAAGTCCGATGAGCGAGAGCCACCAGAGGAGCTGCACCTGAAATGCCAGCGCCGCCACGTTCTTGGCGGTTGTGACGACAAGCAGGCCTTGGCCAATGGCCCACGTCATCGACGAGAGGCCATACATGGTGCCGACGTGGTAAACACCAAACATGTCGGTGAGAAGACAGACAATCAGCGACGCGCCAGCGTTCGAAGCGAACTGAAGCACGTAAAGCAGCCACTCGACATGCGCAAACTGCGTCATCTTGTCCGACTCGAGGTACGCAGCAGGAATCGCAATGCACTGCAGCAGCACGAGACCCGTCAAGCAGACCTTTCGGACGGCCGCGGGGTTGGCATAGAAGACGCGAATGCCAACGTCCGAGAGAATCGCCGGTACGAGGCGGCCAAGGAGGTCGACGATCAACCCGTGCAGGCGCAGCGTCTTGACAGCGTCGTCCGAGAGGCTGTAAATGTCTTGTAGTGGACAGCGCAAGGTCGCCACCGCCGTCATGTTGTTGTAGAACAAGCCGACGATGCAGTTGGCCGTGAGCGCAACCAAGAGGCAGACAAAGTCGGCCGAGAAGATGCACTGGGGCAATGACATGGCCTTGACTTGTTCGTGGTACCGTCGGTCGGTACCCTCAACAAACGAGTTGCTCCGGCGCGTGACCGCGTTGTAGTTGACAAGCGTCATGCCAATACGGAGGTACTCGTCTTGGACGAGGTCGACACTCGGAGCTTTCATGGACGGAATGCAGTGCATGTCGTAGCCGGCGACGCTAAAGTCGGGCGGCGGCGTTCGCACGAGCAGCGTCGCAACGGCCATCGTCGGTACGAGCGTCAGGAGGAGGAGTACAAAGGTGTACTTGAGGTCCATTCCGGCGGCATTTGTCACGTGATTGTACAGCGAAGCCCAGAGCTGCTTGCCGACACCAAACCCGACGAGGCAAAAACCGGCCACCGAGCCTCTTGCGTCCGGACACCACTTCATCGCGACCGAAATCGACAGAATCATGATGGCGCTAAACGCCATGGCCACGACAAGCATCCTAGCACGCAGCGCTTAGCCCCGATCGCTTTATCGACAAAATAGCGTACGCCACGTAAAAGAGAATCCAAGACAGTAGCGACACGGCGAGCAGCGACGCGCTGAGACCGAGCGTGAGAACGAGTGTCGCGATCGCCATGCTCCAGCGCGGCCCTTGGCGCTCAAAAAGCGGACCGAGGAGCGCTTGTGCGAGGATGCTGAGCACGCCGGCCACGAGGATGAGCTGGACGGCGCGGGCGTCACTGGTCGGGAAGCCGAAATAGTGATTGATCGGGTCGGGCAGCGCCATGAACGCGTAGAGCGACCCCGAGCAAAACTGAACGAGGAAGATCGCACTGAAGAGGTGCAGCCGGTGGAAGAGGAGACAGGTGTGGCGCGGGAAGCGAAGGACATTGGAGGTGAGCGGCCAAAAGAAGACGTAGCGCTCGGCGTCAACCTCGTAGCACGACTTGGGCGATAGTGTGATGGTCCAGTACATTCCAAAGTGACGGCTGGGTCGGATATTGGAGCCATTTTTGTCTGAACCCAAACATGATGGAGCGATCACCTGCCGTTGAATATGCCACATCTGAACGCTCCTGGTGCAATCTGGATGATGGGCATGTGACCTCCCACCTTGAATGTGGTAACGGTTTATGACCAGATGTC